ATATCAGAATCATTTAAATAAATATAAAACTTGGACTTTAAATCCTAGAAAATTATAGAAAATCTAGAAAAATATAAATACTCTTTTAAAAATAATAATTGAATATTTTAAAATACCAGAAAATTATTTTAACTAGTATCAAAAATTCACGGTCTTTACATATATCACTCTATTTTTTGAAAATATTTTTTCATAAATCACACGTTTTCAAATCACAAACCTATATAATCACATTAGTATAATTTAATTTAGGATTAATTAAATTTTGGGTCATATTTAAGGTTAGAAATGATTAATAAATTTATTTGAATTATGGTAAAATTAAGTTTAGTATTAAAAGTTTTGTTTAATTAGGGGAAGATGTATTTAATTTAGAGTTTATAATTGATTATAAGTGTTGATGAAATATGGTGAAATATTATCTAATTATGGATTAGATAATATTAGCAGCTGTATTTTTTATCACAAACTGTATGACAAAAATGAGAAAGCTTTACAATATCACCCTTCCATATACTTATGATCCTGAAAGTATAGGCACTACAAGGTAATCATTCAGTAGCGGAGTTTGAGGTCATGATGCGATTGCTAATTACATCTGTTTAAACTAACAACCACAAGGTAATCATTCAGTAGCCGTAGCTGAAGGTTAATTAGAGTTTTGCATTTGACTATTTCAAACAAAATAGAATAATAAATCATAAGAATTTACTAAAAAAACTTTAACATGAAAATACCTTACAACAGCATCCACGATCAACGAGCGGCACCGGTGGTGATCGACAAGTAGATCTGGATAATAGGCAGCAAAGACAGCGGTCGACGACCAGATTTGGACCACGAGCGGCAACGACAGTCGGCCAGTGGCGACGATAGAAGAGTTGCTGCAGCAGCTTCGATCTGAAGATTGCTGGAGCGGATCGGTGGGTCGTGGGCTCGGCGTCGTGGGATTCGCGATCTAGGCAGGGGCGTTGGGGGGTGCGAGGTGCGAATGCGGGGCCGTGAGAGACGGTCAAGCGGGCCCTATGGGGGGGTTAGGCGGGGAGGCGACGACTAGGCTAGGAAGTTTTTTATTTGGGTTTATCAGCTTGGGTTAAACGCTGAGCAGAGAAAAAGGGTCGCGAGCCGGGGATTGGGGGGGGGGGGGGGTTGGGTTTTATTTTTTTTAATTTTTTAAGTGGGGCTACCTGACAGAAATTACGTCTAGGATACATCCTAGACCCTAATCCCATTTTTTTTAAAAATATTAAAACAATAAAACTGTCCACTTTACTATTGTAGACGGAAAATTCCGTATACGATGTTTGCATCCTAGACGGAAATTTCCATCTAGTTTAACTCAAACTAGACGAAAATATTCTACTAGTGGAACAAAGTGATGTATATACTAGTGGAACAAAGTGATGTATATACGACTTTCCTTTGGGCAGAGCTTGAAAAGGACATTATGATGAGTCAACATAGAAGATCTCTCTTAGGAAAAAGATCTTCTATTCAGATTGCAAAAATCTAGTATGGACGTCTTTAAAATAAATAATGGTTAAAAAAGTTTGACAATTTTATGCTAGAGCATGGCAACGATAAGAGTCCGCCTGGCAGTTGTGTTTATGATTGAAAATGTCTCTTATCGGGAAGAACTATATTGGAAATATATTAGAGGTTTAATATGGACAAATTTTCAAAATCAACCATTTTCGTAATTTAAATAGCAAAATCGACCTCTTAGAAATTTATTCAGCAAAACCGATCCTTTTCTTCTGAAAAGGGTCGGTTTTGCTGCGGAAGAAATTTTACGACATACACGGGACTGCTAGTCCCGGCGGAAGAAATTTTACGACATACACGGGACTGCTAGTCCCGTGTATTTCGAGGCAGTTTCAAACTACACAGGACTAGCAGTCTCGTGTTTTTTGCAGAGACTAACGTCTCTACAAAAATGAAGTGCACGGGACTAGCAGTCCCGTGCACTTTACAGAGAGTCACAAAAGAAGTGCACGGGACTGCTAGTCCCGTTCACTTCCTAGGCGCAACGAAATGCACGGGACTAGCAGTCCCGTGCATTTCCTGCACATTCACAACTGTGCATGTATTTCTGCTACAGGAAAATTCCCTGTACAAACTCATATTTCAAATGCAACAATCATAAATTACACCATTGCATAAACACATATATCAATTCCCTATACAAACTCATATGTCAATTCCCTGTATAAACACATATCAAATCTAAAAATCATAAAATACACCACAAACTTACGAATCCAAATCCAACAAATCACGCCACAAACCCACTTACAAATCTAATAAGTCACACCATAGTCTCAGCTACAAATCCAAAAACCATCTATTGTCCCGAAATACGTTTGTAATTTACATATCAAAATAGGATTGTAATTTATATAACAATACCGATTAGCTTACATACATCCAAGAACTCTTCTCCTCCTCCTTTGTCTTCGACCTCCTCTATCCCGACCTTCGATGAGTTCATGATCCGGTTGCGTTTGTGGTTGTGACGGTCCAGCTCCATGGTCAACATGTTGGGAAGGCCCAGCTTCATTGTCGTTTCTGCGTCGTCCTCGTCTATGTCGTTGTTGACGTGTGTATACTAATTGCGCTACCTCTCGTCCATCATGAAGGTCTTCATGATCCGGTTGCGTTTGTGGTTGTGACGGTCCAGCTCCATGGTCAACATGTTGGGAAGGCCCAGCTTCATTGTCGTTTCTGCGTCGTCCTCGTCTATGTCGTTGTTGACGTGTGTATACTAATTGCGCTACCTCTCGTCCATCATGAAGGTCTTCATGATCCGGTTGCGTTTGTGGTTGTGACGGTCCAGCTCCATGGTCAACATGTTGGGAAGGCCCAGCTTCATGCGAGAGATAATTCAAAAAAATCCAAAATGCAAAAATTACTTTAAAATTCAAATTACAATATGTAAATTTTATATTTAATTCTATATTACCTGCTCGAGCCAATTCCAAGCCACGATTTGCAATGGTTTGAACATCATCTATTGCTGATACCTACAAATTTTTAAAAAAACATAATTTAGCAATATTGAAAAATTCTAATAAAAATGAACTTAAAATACATTTGAAAATACTTACTAATTCTCTCTCATCTATACCCCAAGGCACATATCCTTTTTGCAACTCAACCGGGGATGTGGTCGCATGGAGTATCCATCTTCTAGTTATCCTCCAATACCAAGTGTAGTAATCTGATTCCTGGGGAGTTGGATCGATTTGCTCAACAATACAAAATTGTCTATCATTCCATCTGTGTATATAATTTTGATGCTCAGCTGCCCAGTCCTTTTGTTGGCCTCCTTTCTTCGCTTTCCTCTCTATTTTTTTAACAAATTGCGAAACATGTTGTGCAAGACCAAATTGTCGAAGCACGCGGTCCGGTACATACATTTCTACTATCTCGAAACATATTAGAGGAACTTTGGCTCTCCATATAACTGGGTATTCTGTGCATATCGGGGGTAGATGATCGAGAAATGGGGTGTAGGGCTCCCATTCCATCTACAGAGTATTACATATAATTATTGCATATCATTAAAACGAAAGTTGATATATAGAAGAAAAAACTCATTTTTATAGAAATGATACCTGAAATATCTTCATGCGGTCAAGCTCATTTCGGTAGAAATCTAACTGTCTAGCCGGGGTCTCGTCAAAACATTTTTGGACATTCCATCTATGTTAGTTTCAAAATTCAGTACCAAATGAATAACTACAATTATATTTACTACGTTAAAAATATAATACTTGCATCCTAGTGGAATTTGTCCGTCTAATTGTAAATTCACGCATAGTCTCGGCTTCAAATGCAGCCTCTCCCATGCCCATACTTGCAGTAAGCTGAGACACCCTTTGAGGTCACTATTTTTCATGATGCAACCCTTAGACATCTCTCTATATAGGTACGCCAAAACCGCACTACCCCACGATAACGCACCACACGTGTCCAAGTCCCCGATAAGTGGTAACCACCTAGCATTTTCACAACATTTCAAGTTATCAAAATAAGCTAAATCAACAGATATAATTGTAAATACTGATAAAAATGATACCTGACATGCACTTTATCTTTACTCGAATCTGGAAATAATATTGAACCGATCATGTGCATAATGTATGCACGTGCATGTTGCTCAATCAATATTTGCGGCGCATCAAATTGCAATGGCCGAGAAGGTCTCTTTTAGCCACTTCAATTTAATATTTCCTCCAGGCATTGACTCTGGAGCTACACCTAACAACTCCTCACACCTGTCCGGCCAAAAATGTCTATCACTGCCGGTAACGCACGGACCATCTATGCGGAGACCAAGTATCATAGCTACATCCTGTAGCGTAATAGTAGACTCTCCCATTCGGAAGTGGAAAGTGTTGGTCTCCGGCCTCCACCTATCTATCAAAGCGGTGAGTAGGGGCCAATCGAGCCTCATCCAACGAAGCTTTGAACATGTCAAGAAGCCGGCCCGTCCTACAGCTGCTATTATGCGCTCATCCTCTAGATGCCAACGGCTATGGCTGAGGCTATGATCAACCATAACAATATCCGGGCCTCTCTGTAAAGCAAATGAATATATAAGAATACAATATTATAAGAATGCAATATTGAAATTATAAGAAACTTAGTTACCTCTGTAAAAGATATAACATGTGAACGGTGTCGAGGCTGGTCATATAGGACCTCATCACTCGTCGGTCCAGGCTCCATGGTGTATATACCTGCACATACAATTATAACATATCAATAACCGATCCACGACTAATTATATTGTCTACATTAAAATAAATCACAATTTGAATATGTCAATTATTACCAATTAATTGCTATCTATTGAGTCTAGCTGGACAACGAGGTCGAGTATGTCCCGGTTGTTTGCAAAGACTACATTTTTTATGCTTGACAATTCCTTCTCGTCCTTGATCCATGGTTCCCCTAATTCGTACAGATCGTGGTCGACCTGCTTGTCTCTTGTATTAAGGTGGAATTAGTCGTGGTCCAGTATATTCGGACCAATACCGACTATCATCGGGTGGATGAAAACTCTTACTGTATGTCTTTCGGTAATGAATTGTTGAATACCATGGTGAACAATACCGATTATATGGAATTCTCGCACCACCCAGCTGATTGGAGGAAGCCGCAAGAACATGTGCACAAGGTATTTTTTGAAGTTGTGGTATGTTACATGTGCAAGTGCAATCAACATCAAACAGTTTAACGGTGTAGATACCATCATAATCATGTACCTGCCATTCATTGTCATTGAATACAGTAATTTGACATAATCTTGCCGCCTCAATTCTTCTATGCAAAATAGACTCATTCTTTGGTGTGTAACGCGTTGTCCAGTCTACACCGTCCTCACGCCTTTTGTTGAAGTATGAGTTTAGCCTATAGAACGTTCTTGCAACCAATGATTGTATTGGCATAGCTCGTGCTCCTTTAAGAACGCCGTTAAAGCTCTCGGAGCAATTAGTTGTCATCATGCAAAACCGCACACCCTCATCCTTACATAATGCCCATCGATGCTCGAATTGAGGCTTCAAGTTATGTTCAATCCAATTATGTGCATCTAATGACAAAGACTTGATCTTCTCTCTATAATGTTCATACACTAATGTATCGGTTGCACACCTAGCTTACCACAAAAGATTTTGCAAATTAATCTCACCGTGTTTTTTCTTGAAATTATCTCTTATACGCCTCAAACAATATCGATGGTAATGTGGTGCACCAAAACCCTCATGTAATGCCCTTATAATTCCTTTCATCCTATCCGAGATAAAAGTAATTAATCTGGGCACACGAACACTAGGAATCCACTTGTATATAAGTTCAAAGTACCACTTCCAACTAGAAGTATCCTCTACCTCCACAACTGCAAATGCTAGAGGAAATAAACCGCCATTTGCATCTACATCGGTCGCCACAAGAAGCACGCCTTTGTACTTGTCATATAGATGTGCACCATCAATGCTCAATAACGGACGACAAAAAGTAAAGCCCTTAATAGCCGGACCAAATGCGCAAAATACTCGAGTGAACCTCTCCATCCCCGGTGCAATCTCTTCAGACAATATTTCATATTCAGTATTAATGTGGCATAATTATGTACCAAAATATGTTGCAAGTGCACAACCGTGTCAAGTTATAGTATAAAGATATCGATCCCACGAGGAAGGTGTTTTGGAGGAGAAAATATAAAATCGGTTCTTATGTTGTGTGCGTGACAAATAGGAGTGATGAGTGAATATGATTGTGGAGAGATAATGATAGTGAAAGTGATAGTGTGTAAATCAATGTTTTTTAGAGTGGATGTGAGTAAAAAAATAAATGTGATCAACAAGGCAAGAAGGAAGAATGAATAAAATCAAGAAACAAATAAAAAATCAAGAATGTAAAGATAGCGGATTCAATTAAAGATATGGGTAATCTAGAATTGAATCCACTTCTTAGAAAAAGGTGATTCCCTAGAGGGTTCTAGCCTAAAGGCGAATCAAAGAAAGTGAAAATAAACAAAAAGAAAAACTAAACCCAAGAGGGTTCTAGCCTTAAGATGAATAGTGCAAGAAATTAAAATCTAACTACAAAATAAATTGTAAAATCTAAACTATAAAATAAATTACAAGAATTAAATGCAAGAAAATAAATCTACTCTATAAGCATGAAATAAATCTAATCTATGAGCATAAAATAAATCTAAGGCAAGAGGGTTCTAGCCTCTTGGCTATTTAAATAAGAAAATAAAATCTAATTACAAGCATGAAAATAAATCTAAACTAATAAGCAATAAAAGAAGAATAAGAAAAACAAACCTTCAAATTAATCTCCATCTTCATCTTCGTCTTCATCATCCAACAAAGAGAAGAAGAGAAAAATTTAAAGTGGTGAAAAAATTATTTTATTAATTGTAACAAAAAGTTACAAATTTGGAAGGCATTCTCAATTAAGAGTAGCTCTTCTCTCCAAAAGGAGTTATAAAAATTTTTACACCCTTAACCCCTCACTCTCTACCCCTATTTATAGTAAACAATAATGAATAAGAGCCCTTGGATGAAGACTTAAGCCCTAAGAAATTATTTTTAGCCTTTGAGTTTTTGGGCTTAAATTCTTGGTCCTTTTACTTGTTTTCTTCATTAATTCAATGGGCTTTTGCTGAAAGAAGAGATCTTGAGCTTTATTCTTTATTAACCTTCAAATTCTTCCCATAATTACTTCTCGAGCAGAGAAATTCAGATCGTGCTTCTTTGTATGAATATTTGTCCATGATATGTTTCGATTTCAGAGATGTCATAAATACAAAAGTTATAGATCTCGTTCTTAGCTTTCTAGAGAATGTTTATTCATCCAATTCCGAGTTGATACGAGAGAGATATGGCCAAAATACTAAACATTACTGAGATATCCAGATTGCATGATTTGTTTCCTTTTTCACAAAACTTCTTCATTTGTTCCTTGATGGTATATTTATTTTTCTTGGGCTTTTGGGCTTGGATTTTGGACATTTTCTTGACATTTTGGGCTTTAATGCTTCATTTAATATTGAAAGAAATTGTTTGACGTCATGGGCTTCATTCTTTTGCTTTTGGCTTTGGGCTTTGGTATTAAATCAAGGGGCCTTTGTTGAGAGATGAGAGTTTGAGATTTATTCTTCATTAACCTGCAATTAAAAGATAAAAATAATTATTAATGGTATATTTATTCATAAAAAAATAGATAATGAGGGTATAAAGTTGTAAGAAAATGTGATTATCAAATATCCCCACACCTAAACTTTTGCTAGTCCTCTAGCAAAGAAAGAAAAATAAAAGAAAACCTAACTCACTTTCGCAGGAATCGTGATTGTATTTAGTGCATACAATAAGCCTTTAAACCCCTAGGTTACCCTAGTGGACGAGTTGTAGTCTCGTGAGGGTTTGCAGTGAATATACCCACAAAATTCGGTCATCTTGCCAAATTAAAGAAGTTAGTAAATAACAAAATTTACTTGATAATTGAAGCTAGTTATTACTCAAGAAAACATTTTTATATATAACTCTAAGGTAAATTTTCTAGAAAATCTTCTCATTATAGCAATACAAAATCAAGCCAAACTTTTAAATTTAATTTAAAAGTTTTGAAAAGAACATGCTAACACTTTGTTTAAAATAATATTCAAGTTGCTTGATCTAAAATATTTTTAAGACCATATATACAAATATAACTATATATAAAACATTTATTTTATTTTATTTTATATTTTTTTAACTCTTTCTTCCTTGGTGATTTTTTTTCTACTTTAACGGGCTTTCTAAGTGACCATTTAACGAGTTTTGGGCCAATGGATCCCAACCCAAATGGGCTTAGGTCATTAAGTATGGAAATACTCCTTGGGCTTAATTACTCGGTCAGCTTAGACTTTATAAGATAGAATCACCTTGAATTCAAGAGTTTTTCTTTTCTTTTCTTTTGGTGCCCATTTTTCGCACTCTTCTTTTGCAATTTTTTTTTATGTATATATATTTTGAAAAAAATATGTAAATCAAGACACTTTGAAAAATTATTTTCAACTCTAAGTTAAGCATGCAAAAATTTCATTATTTTAAATAAAAATCCAAGTTAAGGCTTAAATAAAGTATACTACTTTGAAAATCATTTCTTAAGAAATTTATTTAGAGTTATCATAAAAGGTGAACTTAAGTAAATAACCAACTAATAAATTCTTTTTATTATTCTGAAATAAACAAAATAAACAATGTAGAATGAAATATTCAACATGAAGAGTTCCTGTTCTACATTGAATCCTACCTTACTGTTGAAAATTCTTCCCCGGATTTTAAACAAATTCAGAATGATATAATCAATAATGTGAATTTTTAAGCATTTCGGGGTGTTCAATAATTCTTGCAACAAGGTAAGGTAGGTATTATTGGTGTCATGCATTTTGCATTTCTTAATGAACTTAGACTCTTGTACTGTGAAGTTTTGTTTTCTAACAACCAATTCTTCTGTGAAGTTCTGAAAATTTGGTTGTTGATTATTCTCCAAGAATCTAAGTTCATCAAGAAAGAGTTCTTCAAAATTTAATTCAAAGCAGCAAATGTTTAACACAGTTTTATTATTCTCAAGGACCTGATCTGCTTCTTCTAAAAACTCTAACTCTTCATCAAAAATTTCCTCAAAACTCAAATCAGACTCTTCTTCTTCTTCTTCTTCTTCTGATCTTTCCTGAATGTAATTTACTTCTAGAGGCTGATTATTTGGCTAGTCCTCTGGATTAAAAATGTTGAGATCAGCAGTCAAATTCTCAAATGACAGCTTCATTTGACCAGTTCTACAGTTGATGAGAGCATTAGAAGTGGCTAAGAAAGGTCGTCCTAAGATGACAGGTGTCTGTCCTTTGGGATTAGAAACAGGCTGTGTTTCCAAAACTACAAAATCTACTGGAAAAATAAAGTCTCCAACCTTAATCAGAACATCCTCTAACTCACCCATAGGGACCTTAACAGATCTATCAGCCAACTGTAAGGTGCATTTGGTTGGGTTCAGTACACCTAGACCCAATTGCTGATAGACTGAATATGGAAGCAAATTGACACTGGCCCCTAAGTCTAAAAGCGCCTTATCAATGTGAGTATTACCAATGATACATGAAATGATGGGGGAACCTGGATCTTTACGTTTCAAAGGTATGGGATTTGACAGCATTTCACTGATATTGGCGGCTAAAAAGACTTTCTTTGGAACATTTATTCTCCTCTTCTTAGTGCACAATTCTTTTAAAAATTTAGCATAAGATGGAATTTGTTCAATTACATCTAAGAGAGGAATATTGACCTTAACCTGCTTGAATGTTTCTAGAATCTTCTCATCTTGAGGGGAGTGTTTCCTAAGCCTGAGTCTATCTGGAAAAGGAGCAACTGGTCTAAACCTATCAAAAGCAGGCTCAGGTTCCGGTTCAGGTTCTTGATCATCGGAGGAGGGTGATTGTTGAATAGATTCATCAGAAGGAGAAGGAGAATGAATTTGTACTGGATCAAAAGTTTGACTTGGAGGAGTTCTTACTTGATTATTGACCTGTCTACCTGACCGAAGTGAATGAATTGCATTCACTTGAGCTTCATAGGATGAACCGCATCCTGTGTCCTTAGGGTTGACCACGGGTTGACTTGAAAATTTTCTTTTCTCTCTTTTACTCACGGCACTAGCTAGTTGACCAAGCTGGTATTCTAATCTAGCTATAGCTTGAGTGTTGGAGTTGAGCATTTGTCCGGTTGATTGCATAAAGGAATTCAGAGTGCTGGACATTTGAGTCAACATATTCGTGGTTTGAGTGGAGGCCTTAATTATGGTTTCCAAACCCCTTTCCAAGACATTGAGACGTTTATCCTGATCTGGATTGGGAGGAGTCTGAATTACAGCTTGATGAAGAGGAGACTGATTTTGATACGGCAGATTGGGTTGTTGATATTGTGGATGAGAATTGAAAGGAACTGTGTTTCCCCTAGGAAAATGTTGGGTCGAAGCGGGAGTAAAGTTTTGAGTTCCGGGAGAATTTCCTTGATTCCATGCGAAGTTGGGATGATTTCTCCAAGCTGGATTGTAGGTTGGAGAGAATTGATCATTTGCAGAATGCTGGAATGCAGCGTTGACCTGTCCTAATGGCTGATTATTTCCTAAGAGAAGGCATTCCTCTGAAACGTGAGTAGGAGACTGACAATTATAACATCCTGAGGCAGAAACATGATTGATTTGAGTGCTCTTTCCTTGATTTCTAAAGCTTCTAACTTATGCATGATTATGGCCATCTTAGCTTCAGATGCAATGTTCGACTCTAAGGAAATACCACTGGATTTAGGTTGGGGAACTGATGACACCCGGTCATCACAGTGTTCCCATTGCATGGTTTTTTCAGAAAGACTCTCTAAAAACTCCCAAGCTTCATCAGCGTTTTTCCTCATAAAATCCCCGTGGCACATTGATTCTAAGGAAGTTTTTGCAGAATAATCTAATCCCTCATAAATTATTTGGCACAATCGCCATTTCTCTAAACCGTGATGAGGACATTGGATGA